CCACCTTCTACCAATTTTGTCAGGTTTATCTAAAAAGCACTGAGGCTGAGAAAAAGAGGCTAATGCCTGTTCCCTATACTTAATGTCAGACAAAGCCACTAAGAGTAGACTGTAATCACATAGAGTCTAGTAGTGTCACACTTATTTTTTTCTTGAGCATGATGAATAAATTATTATGCTGATATAATGATGTATTTACAGATTAGAATAAAGAGGAATACAGTTGGCATTCGGGTTCCTTTTTTAAACTCCCCAGTGAAGTGACAGCAAAATTAATGAATGCATTTTGTGTACATAGTTTCATAAACATGAAGAGATCACACCATGTTCTGTTCAGCTGACTTTTTTAAAATGTATTTTAATTGTCATAGAGTATCTTGAATTTGTGGAATTGTTAAGATCCACAAGATGATAGACTTAACTTTTTGAGAACTGGGTGTTGTCTTCTTAAAGCCAGCAAAAATATTTTCATTCATTCTTGGGAACATGTCCATGAAGTTAAGACAACCTTGGTTTCAAAAACACTACACAGTGTTTTACCAAATTACTAGGTGGTGCTGTGCTTCATAAACAAGAAGACCACCAATATAATTACCTGATTCAGAATTCTATCATGTATACATTATGTAAACAAGAGGACACAAATACATTTCTTTACTTATCTAGCGTTTAAAAGATAAACTGGGATCACTTGTCTTAGAAAATTAAAACTATGTTAAATTTGTCCTTTAAAGCATTTTAAAATCTGTACATACCATATATTAAAGAAAAAGTAAAACAGAAAACCAGCTGAATTTCTAATTTTGATATGAACCTGTATAAATACAATTTGTTCTGAATCCTAAAAGTACTTCAGCTCTTTGTTTCCATTGTTCAAGAACTGCTGTTAAGCCCACTGTTATGAAGAAATTACGTTCATTTATTATATTTACAGTATATCTCACTTTGTACCAGAGGCATTTACTACATTTGTATCCTTGCAAGAATCAGCTATATGGTCTTCCTCTTGTTTTTCATCCCCACACCTTTTGTTTCAACAAGTACAATGTGTGCAAAAGTGCGCATTCAGCAAAGAAAAATCCCCCTTGCAATTAAAAAATGTGAAAGCTAAAATTTCAAAGTCACAGCTATGGTTTAAATTGTTGTTGTTGTTTAGTTGTTAAGTCATGTCCAACTCTTTGTGACCCCATGGACCAGAGCATGCCAGGCCCTCCTGTCTTCCAGTACCTCCCGGAGTTTGGTCAAAGTCATGTTGGTAGCTTCGATGACACTGTTCAGCCATCTCGTCCTGTGTCGTCCACTTCTCCTCTTGCCTTCACACTTTTCCAACATCAGGGTCTTTTCCAAGGACTCTTCTCTTTTCATAAGATGGCCAAAGTGTTGGAGCCTCAGCTTCAGGATCTGTCATTCAAATGAGCACTCAGTTGATTTCCTTCAGAATGGATACGCTTGATCTCCTTGCAGTCCAGGGGACTCTCAAGAGTCTCCCCCAGTACCACACCACAGCACCATGGTTTACAGTAAATAGCTTGCAGCAAAACCAAGAGCCTCATGGCACCATAAAGATTAACATATATCATCAAATCCATACAGCTTATTCCATTATATATTTTTCTATAAGATGCTGTAGGATCTTTATGCAAGCTAGAGATTAATGCCAAGTGTTCTAAGATCCCACATACAACTTTTAAATTGTTTAGTATCTGATATTATACTGTTTTGGCAAACCACAAATGTTGATTGTCATCTACTAAACTTTTCTTTTTGGAGGAGCACACTTTTGAAAAAAGGAGAGCTAAGTATTTAAGTAAAACCTTACACAAGTGCTTGTTTTTATCCGAGTTAGAAGAAGGGCTAAAGAAATAGTTAAGCACAGTGAGTGCCTTTGTAAAGGATAAACAGTACTTCCAATTGTACTCTCAGGGGAAAATGGCATGCATCTACTGCCTTCCCTGTAATTCAATCAGAAAAAGAGAGATTCAGATTTGGCAGGTAAAAACTGTAGCTTCATTTACAGTAACCAATGATTTCAAAAGATGCCAGGGCACATTTCCATATTCATTAGTTCACCAGAAACAGTGAGGAATCCCTGGCTGTCATCAGCAGGAACCATCTACCAGAAGTGACTAATATCACCTTTTTGTTACTGACAAGAGGCACTACCTTCTTACGTTGACTGTGTTAATGATCACAGAAGGCAGGAAGAACCTTGGCTTTGTAGTGCAAAGTTGAGACAAGCAAAGAATAAGCTAAAACTCAGATTCTGCTCAGTCATGTAAAGTATACTTTAGTAGGCATGGGTCATATTCTTTGCAGAATGCTACTTTTATTTATTGTATTTTAACCAGAGACCAATTCTTAAAGCACATTCCTACCTGCATGTTTGGAGCAAACTATCCTTTTCACTACACATATAACTAAAATAATGGTTCTAAACAATCATGTAAATATGTGTACTTAGTTAATTGTGTCATAAATGCATTTTTTTAGCCTTCCTTACTTTCTGGATTATGCACTTATGTACTACTTTAAACAGAAGTTGTAGAGCAGAACAACCTTCAGGAAAGCGGAGAGTGATGGGTATGGTATGTTTATAAACCACTGGGTTGAAAAAAACCCAAAACAAAATATACGAGTTGATCAATCTTCTGTAGAAGTTGATCTCCAAAGGATAACCCATACAACATCTAATCTGTACCAATAAAAGAGAATGTCTATGTGCATTTCTCTAGCATAGCCACAAGACTAAAATCTACACATCTAAAGTTTGGCAAGGATAATAAGAGGCTTCTGGGTGTAGGCATATCTGGGTCATTATACTTTAATAGTGATGAATGAATTTTAGTTATTTAAATTAGGGGGTAGTCTGCATATTATGAGTCTATTATCTCCCCTTGAGAGAGGCATGGGAGAATTATTTCTCCATAGGCCCTCTAGAAAGCTTTTTGAGGTACTTCTCTCTGTAGAGCCCAAAACTTTTTCAAACAGTGCAAAGAAAGGGTGAGTGTATTTTTGTGAGTGACTAAAATAGAATTATTGCTGGTTTGTTCATGAGAGGAAAAGAAAGGTTAAATGTGCATAGGGAATGAAGAAACAGAATACTACAGAAAGTGAAGATTGGAGCCTTGCTTAGGCATGCTTAGAGCAGAACCATTAAAATCTGAGAGACATTATGTGCTCTTGGCTAACTTAGTCTGCCTTGATTGTAAGGGTTCTACCTAAGTATCTGGACTCAACCTATTCTCTACAGTTAACATTGACATAAAATCTCCCCATTTAATGAACTCTTCTCCTTATGTAAATGTATACCAAGCCTTATTTCATCACATGTTAGAAACAATGTCCATGACAAGCATGAAAGATTAGTTAACAATGTGCCATCAATTATCTCTCTTTACTTATCAACAGAATTAGCTTAGCCAGACTCTGTGTCTGTTCTGGGAAGGGTGCATATTAAATAACCAAGAACATTCTCAGGTCTTCTTCTAAACCCAGCAAACACTACTTCAAAACAAAACAAAGCGCACTCAAAATAAACTCTTGTGTGGTGCTTTTGGCCTTGACACTCCTGTTCACTTCTTAAGGTTCTTAATCATTGTTGCTCAGGCTTACTAACCTCACAGGGTTAAAGTAAGGCTGGTTGGTAAGTTTCTATGTATTGAAAGCATATCTCTGGAATCCATGAGACAGTTCTAATCTTTACAGTGGGTCTCAATGTTTGACATTTTGAAATTCAAATCCTAGCCACCATGCTCAATGGGTAAGGTTTTTTGTGTGTGTGGTGGTGGTGGTTCTGAAGGACCATAAGGACCAGCCTCCATACATCCATCTACAGTACAGTACGGGTTCTAGATTGGAGGATCTGCTGCAAGTGAGCACCAACTGCGGGGGCTGCTCATTCAAGTATTCACAAGCTGTAGTAAATTAATTTTATGGAAAGCTAGGTGGTTGATTTAAATGAAACTTCACATATCTTATGTATGTCCGAGCCATCTTCCAGGGTCATCCTTCCCAATACATCGTTCCTCTTTCATTCATGTTATTCTTGCATTATTTTTCCTCTTCTTTTCATCTTGAATAACCTGTATATTGATGTATAAATATTTTGTTATATTTTATATGTTGTGTTATGTATGTTAGAAGCCGCCTAGAGTGGTCGTTCGACTAGATAGGCAGGGTATAAATACAATACATAAATAAATAAATGTTAGTAAAGGTTGGAGGTCTTTCTGATACTCTGACCTTGGCTATAGCAGCTCTTCTAGACCACCTTGTGCTGCATTCAGGTATTTAAGGTTCTCCGAAGTACTTTTCCTTCTGCAGCTCTTTTCCTCCTTTACTGTATCATGATCAGCTGTAACAGTCTGTACTTTTTTGTTTTTCCTAATGTGATGAAAGTATAGAATTATTGCATATTATGTGTTTAATGATTTCTTGGCTCTTATTCATTCTCCCTAGTACTCTGCTCCAAGAAATTCTTCACCTTTCGTTCCTGGGGGCTGTGGTGTTTCTAGTGTCGGGGAAGAAAGGAGATGAATGGCAGAATATGCTCCCATTGGTGGTTGGTTGGTTTTGGCTCGGGGCTACGTGCAGGGTGTGAAGCGAGTTCAAATGGTGCCCGCACGTGTTCGTCTCCCGGGTCCTTACGTGCTGCGGCTTGGGAGTGTCGCACCAGAAGAGCGTGCACACCTAAATCAGCTGCCGGGCCCGTGTGTAGAAAAACATTCTCCTGCGACTTCAGCCAACTCCCAGCTGCTTCACGTGGACTGAATCCGGCCACTTCATTTGCAAGCAGACACTAAACGGTGGAGAAAGCCACCCCTTAGTCCGAGCGATGGTGTGAGGCGCCCAAAGGTGTTCACAAGGAGGAGGGTGCCAGCGCTGTAGGGCTTCAGCAAGAGCCGTGTGCTCGTAGCCATTGTTTGTGGAGGTGTGCGTCGAGTGAGGAGGGCACGGAAACGCAGGCTGTGGGCGGGAGGGTGAGCCAGGTTGTCTTTCGCCTGGCTGGCATTTTCCTCTCTGCCTGTCTTCTTGGGAGTTTCCGTGCCGGCTGCGGGTTGGGTGAGGCCGGAGAGAAGTCCAGGCTCCGGGAGGCTGCCCTCCCTTTCGGAGTCCAGCGCCTCTTTCTCTCGCGGGGAGTCCAGCGGAGGCGGACGGCGGGGCTGTGGCCGAGGCGGAAGTGACGGCCGCTTCACCTGCTGGGCTCTGAGGGGGGTGACACGGAGGAGGAGGCCGGAGGCCAGTGTCCGTTGGGAAATTCGCCCGGGAGTCGCCGGCTGGCTGCTGTGTCTCTTTGGGCTGCCGTCGGTTGCTAGCCCAGCCATGGAGTCCCTCTGGCGGCTACCGCACTGGCTGTGGAGTCTTCTGCTCCTCTGTGCAGGTAAAGCGAAGCGGGAAAGGGGGCGCCGAGAAGGGAGCGGAGGGAAAGCCCCCCCCCGTCCCCTCAGAGACAGACAACGAGCCTCCCTTCCCGGCTTGTCCCCCCCCCCACTCTCCTCTCTCCCGCTCGTCCGGGCGCCCGGGGGGGGGAGGCGGAAGAACAAAGAGCTGCCCCCGGGGGGAGAGGGGGCGCCTGGCTTGGTTTCTCGGGCGGCTCGGAGACCGAGTCCGGAGATCTCCCTCAGAAGTAGAAAGCATTATCTGTAATATAGCGCTCGCTCGCTCGCTCTCAAGGGAAGGCGGGGGAGAAGCGAGTTGGACGTCTGTGCCTGGCACCACCGAGTGTGTCTTCTGTTGGCGCTTTCTCACGTAGTCTCCGTGTCTTGTGCGTGTGT